TTATGGTGTAGAAACAGCTCTGATGTTATACTTGGTACTGCTCAGTATTTCAGGGAGACTGCTGTGTCTGGCCGCCTCACTGATGTTTTGAGAGCTGATGTGAATCCATTGTTTATGTCCATTCCATGAGAGGGGATATATTTTTACCTAAGATTGGAGTCTGGTTCTTCCACAGCAAAGCAGCAACTGTTTAGCAGCCTGAGGGTGGATCAACAGCTGCGAGGCCACCCACAGATAAGGACACAATTCTCAGCTGTCTCTCTATTCACAGCCCCAGTTGGTCCTGACCCCATACAAATTTGGTATTCCTGCTTTGATGTTTATGAACTCACCGCATTGAAAATGCAGGATAATGAATCAGGGGTTAAAGAAACTGTTATTGATACAAATGTGGTTTAACGCTTTATCATTTTAACCTGGCTGTGCTAATAATGTTCATTGTGCTTTTTATTTTGGGGGAATGGGGAGAGGGTTGCCCCAATCTTTAACCTACATTTGCTCTGGCAAGATGTCAGATGTGTCATAACACTGGAGCTGGTGGACAACTCTAGGATCCGGCAGTCCTGTGACTAAGACACTGCATTTCAGGAAACCTCCCAAGTTAGTATGTTACCAGATACGTGTCCAAAACATTGGAAGCACTGGAATAGATGCTATCAGATGTCTGTTGCTGTGAGAGTCAAATGTATCATTTCTAGTGCATCATAAGATGAAGAGAAAAACAACAATAAAAAAAAATCCTCCACCCTGGGGTCCATTCTGAGGTGTGGCAATCCTCCCTTGGGTAGCCAAGTCGATAAATGGGAGGAGACTGCCCTTCTCCCATGAAGTGGGGGCTGGATTATAACTTTTTCAGGGAGCAGTGCTTACATGTTATTTGCTACCTCATGAGGGTTAGAAATCTACCCTATCAGAGTAGAGCAATAAGACATTTATTACATTTAGTGTAGTAATTATGAAAGTTACAGATAAATCTTAAAAAATAACCACTACAAAAGCCCCAAAACGGACACTATTAACAAATGCCCTGATATTTAAGGACAATAAATACCTCTGGAAAGAATTTCTACTTTAGTGTCACTCTTATCCAAAATATTAATAGTGGAAAAAAGAGAAATTAACAATAACTTGAATCAATAATCTTATACCAGTATTTACATATGCTTCAATCATATCCCTAATAGCTTATGAGAAAAGCTCAGGACAAGATTCAGTATTCCCAAGTTTACTGATATAAGACTAAATACATACTATGTAGCCTTATTTTTTTTCATAGAGAATAGATCACTGTAAGCCACAAAGTGTTTCTAGCTGCCACTGAGTCACTCCCCACTCACAGTGAGCCTGTGTGTGATCGGAGTAGACAGAGCTCCTTCACTGGGTTTTCAGAAGCAGGCTGCCCATCTGTCTGCTGAAGAGCCTCTGGATGGGCTCCAACAGCCAGCTTTTCTGCGAGTGATCAAGTGTTTCACCATCTGCACCCTGGGGGCTCTCCAGGCCACAGGCAGCTTTTAAAGTAGAATTTAAAGTAATTAATAAAATTTATATTGAGTTCTTTCACAGTACACAATTTAATCACTATCTGTGCTAGTGGCCATATTATGGGCAACACAGATAAAAAAATATTTCCATCATCACTAAAAAATTCTATCAGGCAGACATTGCTGTTTGACTAAAATTGTAAAGATCAATGTCTGTCTATTCATCTAATATCCTTCTTTCCTTCACCCAGAAGAAAACTAAAGAGCTTTCAACAGAAAGTCAAATATGTACTTCTGTTACAGAAGGGGAGGGCAAGAAGGAAAGAGAAGTGGGGTGAACAATATCCAACCAGATACCCTTGGAAAGCCAAGTATTCATGTTTTGAAACTGACTCTGAGGACACTTCTGAGGATGAAAAGTTATCTACATAAAAAGTCCTAAATCACAATACCCTATGATGTAACATACAAACTAGTGTCTTTTTCCTAAGCTAGAAAATACTTTAGAAAACTTACTATATTTGTTAAAAGATAACACTCACCATGTCTAAAATATGATTAGAACCATGAGAAGTCTTAGTATTTAGTTAAGAACAATTATTAAATTATTAATGTCCAATCACCTGCCTCAAATATCATTACTTGTAATATGTTCAATGAAGCTTCAGAAAAGGGTCACTAAGCCAACCTCTGCCCCAACAGCGAGATTCCTCTACCCAGCTGGACAAACTTCACACTCCTGTTTTCTTAGGGAGGGAATGAGAGAAGCAAAGAGTTTGTAGGCAGAGTTGTTCTTTCCCTCGTTTCCAAGGTTTGTGTTCACTGCCAATTCACCTCAAATAGTCTTCACACTCCTATATGCAGGGTTGATCAGACGCTATCAATCACTGGCATACAGAGCAGAGTCGATTATCAGCTACAATGATTCTAAATAGATGACTCTAAAGAAAAAAGCAGGATGAATTTTGCTTCCTTCAACTGAAAAATCTTCTCAAATAAAAATGAAGCAAATCAAATCCCTGTTCTCAACAGGCTCTGTTAGAATAGCATCCTTAGTGACAAAACCCTTAAGATTTTTTTGTAATAGTTTTTAGAAAGGTTGCATCTTAAAGATTTTTAAATCCTGGTAGAAGAATTCTAACACTGTTATATTAAGACAAAGGAGAGTAGGAAAGGTAGACGAAGAGTTCTCCTTCCCTCCTTCAAACACAATTAAAATGCAGGGTAGAAAAATGGGGGAGATACAAAACTATTTACCAGATTGATATCATAAAATTTAAATGCTGTAGTTAAAAATATTTATGTTTGGAGGTGACAAAGCTAAAACAGACTCTTGAAAATATTCGTCTGAAGATTTAGTTTATAAAATAATGTACTCACCCTTAGATTCAAATTCGCACATGATGGTGTTTTGCTTAAACACTTTATAGCCAAGAGGAATAAACACTAATATGAAATATTCCAGTTATATGTAAAATTATTTCATGTAATTTACATGGGGCTTCTTAACCTAACAGATTTCTTTTTTACTGATTGCTCTATTTTGGAGTAAAATAACATTTAAAAGAAAAAAAATCTGCAAATATTATTGTTTATTATAAGTTTAAATTTTTTGTTGATTTCCTAAATTGAAAAAAAAATAAGTATTTTCAATAAGAGTGTGTTTTCAAATAAATTAAAATTTACTCATTTCCTTTACCCAAATGTACTAACCCAACAAATTACTTGAAATCTTTAATATGATCCAGAAATAGATTAACAGCAAGAATTAAGCATAATCTTTAGTTTTGAGGAGAGAAAAGTTTTTCTTCTACAAAATAAGTGCCAAAAATACTTTTAAAAAATTATGGTATAAAAAAAATCTGTTCTTTTACAGTAGAGTTGCTGTTGTGGTGGTCCACAGGGTGGTACCCTGCTAGCCTAAAGAGAGTTCTTCTCTGCCACTCTGAAACTACCAGCCGCTTCGAGGAAGAAAGATGGGCATTCTCCTTCCCTGAGAATTACAGCCTCTGAAAGATCCTCTGGAGGCTGAGCTGTGAGTAGGTTCTGACTTGACAGTGAGTTTAGATGTTATACTGAAATATTTATCTGTATTTTAGGTGTACACCTTCTTTTCAGATAAGAAACCTCCTGTTACAATATAATTAAATTTTAGTTATATAATGCTTTTAACACTCAAATAAGTTAGAAAAGATAAGCATCTCTGTTCTAGCACATCGATTTGGGGAAGGATTATCTTTCAGTGTGTACCAGATGCAAGTACGTGGGAATAGGAAGGAACTATTTTTATTCTGGAAGAGTAGAGAAAAGGAAGGAGTCTTCTTAAAAGGTAACAAATCATATCTAGTAAGTAATTCCTTCGAAAATTTTAAATCCTGGACCTAATATCACATAAATTTTGGAATGATACTAAACAGGCTTAGTTTCTATTTTCTTTTTGTTTAGCAACAAGATACTGTAAATCACTGAATTAAATCATCTTAAAGGTGTCAGTAAGAAATATCAAGCTTCAAATCCAACATACTATTCTGATGCAGACTACCTGTTGTCTAACTCCATTTTACAGGTCAATCTAGGAAAGAAACTAACTCAAAGATCTTGAAAGAAAAAATGAATGATGTCAAATATTTTTTTAGGATGCTAATGACTAACTGTATAGCTTAAGCATGAAAGTTTCAAGTTTAGTAAATCTAATATGCAAAACCAATCTAACATGTTTTAAAAAATAGATCTGAGTAATTGATATTAATAAACTAGAAAATGAAATAAAATTAGTGTACGTACCAGATTATCTAAAATCACCACTACAAATCCTCATTTTAACTAACTACTTAGTTTTCTAAGCAGCTCACCAAAAACATATGCAACTCAAAATACTCTTAACACACCAGACTTAGAAACTGGACAGGAGTCCTGGTGGCTTAATGATAAGGAATTGTGCTGCCAACTCAAAGGCCAACACTTTGAATCCACCAGCTGCTCTATGGGAAAAAGAAGGGCAATCAATCTTCCCCCTAGTTATTTACAGCTTCTGAAAACCCACTAGAAGGTCAGCTATGAGTCAGTTCTGACTTGATGGTACATAACATCTATTGGATGTCAGAGAAGTATTAACTTAAAATTATTTTATTTATGAATTAATATTGCTGTTTCTAGAAACACTAATGACATTAACACAATATCTATAACAGTTAAACTTGTAAAAAATTTTATAATATATTGGTCAGGTAGATATTTTATGTTTACAAAATGTTTTAAGGAACAATGTTTAAAATATTTACATGGTGTGAAAACAATTTTAACAAAATTTAATAATGTTGAAGAAGTAAACCCCAGAGTTGATCAGAATAAGTCTTTGGGCTTTCATTATTATCTATTTTGAGGTTTCCTTTTTCCATATTAAACTTTAGTTTTATTGTATCACTATAATGGCATTCATTATAATTCCTCAACTATCAGAGTGTCAAGCGTTTTTCTAAGGGAAAGAAAGATGGCTGCCAATTCTCCTTCTCCATCTCTTCACTCATCAGATTCACTTCCTGCTCCGGGCTGTGGCTGGCCGTCATCTGAGCCATCACTCTCCTTGTCCCAGTCCTTCATAGATGCTCCCATCATGAAATCATCACGAAGAATACTCCAGCCTGGATTATCTCCTGATTTCTCTTCATTCTGAAGGAAATTACAGAATTAAAATATTAAGATTAAATTTAAACAAAAGGAAAGAAAAGAAGCTGAAGCTATAAAACAAACTTCAAGAACTGGTCTTACCATAGTGATGAAATCAAAACAAATTACAGGTTGACTTTCTACAGTAAGATCACATATACACAAATGTATAATAAAGAGCTTTATGCCAGTAAAATATTCCAACAACCATATAAAGAAAAATTATAGTAAACCCTTGTTTTGGTAACAATTTTTAAAATCTTTTGTCAATAAAGAGAGATGCACAGTATTCTTTAGCCTCCAATGAAAACGAGACAATATTTTGCAAAATATTGTTTCAGAAACAGACATTTCACAAAGGCTTTCAATGCAAATAAGAGAAAAAGAAACTAGCCTGATACTGTGTTTTTTTACAGATGTCACCCCGACAGATACTTTATCAAAATATAAGGTATGTTCTCATTGACTGACTCAGCCATTCAAAGGATGAAAGGCAAGCCAAAATTACAAATAACTGACCCAAACAATAAACGTAACAGACAGTGGCTGTATTTCATTCATTCATAAGACTTCAGCAATTCCACAGAAGCTGGCCTGTGACATTCAGACTCCTATTTCACAGCACAACAGTACCACCTTGTGGTATTAATTAAGCAATACAATATAGAGAAAATGAATCACTTTTCATTCATCCTACAATTATTTAGTGAAAATTGTGTCCCCAAGTAGGGGAGTTTTAATGACCTACTAAGTATGGTGTATCACTGGTAATTAAAATGCTGCACTTCTCTGATGGTTTGAAGTAACTAGTGGCTCCAAGGGAGAAAGATAGGCAATTTTTTCCTTTTTGATTTATAACCTCTTAAACCTGCATGAGGGTAAGTTATAACTCACAGCAGTGAAGAAGTTCCTTGGGCTTTTTTTTTTCTTTTAGTATTTCAAAGTAGTGTAACAGTTAAGTGTTCAGAAAACACAAGGACAAGTGGAAAGACTGCTGTTACAATGTAGGGATTGTAATCAATTTGAAATCACAAAACAATAATGACTCAGTAAATGGAAAACCAATTTCCCTTGGAAACTCACTCAAATCACAATAAAAATTAAATTTAAAAAACAAAACACTAGTAGCTCTGAGGGAGAAAAGATCCGGCAATCCAGTCCCTTGGAAATTCTGGGATGGTCGGTCTATTCTGTCCTATGGAGTCTTTATCTCACGTCTTTGTACTAGAAACAGTGAGCAAAACAGTCATTCTCTTTGTAAAGTTAAAAGGCTATGTTTAGCTATTTATTCCATTCACAGAAAACACGATAGGGAGAATCCATGCATACAAGAACCCCATGCTTATTTAGAAAATATTGGTATCATTATGGGGACTATAGACCATGTACAAAGAAATTTTTGGAAGATGCTAAAGATACTTGTTGGGTTACAGATTACTTATCTAATTGGTGAAGATACGGCTCTTAAAATACTCATTAAAAAAAAAAGAAAAAAGAAAGGACATTTCTGTTCATGTTCATGTATAAATCATGAATATACCATGAACTGCCAAAAGAACAAATCTGTCTTGAGAGAGTGAAGCTGGCATGTCCCTTCTTAAAGGGAAGGATGGTGAAACTTCACCTCACATGGGCATGTTGTAAGATAAAGTCAGTCCTTAGAGAAAGACATCATGCTGGGTAAGGTCAGTGAAAGCAGGGAGAGCCTAAAAAAGAAAGACTGATCCAGTGACAGCAATAATGAACTTGAGAAGAGATCGTGATGATGATGCAGGATAGTGCAAGATTTCACTCTTTTGAAGGGTTACGATGAGCAGTAGTTGACTCATCACAACTAACAAGTGGCTAATGCCTATTCCTGTATTCCTAGGTTCAAAAACTCAAGCAGGTATTACTGACATATGACTCAGGATTGGACAGCCTACAAATATGAGCAAATACTTTATATGAAAATCTATTATCAACATATTTCCTACTTTAACCTACAAAAAGACAAAAACATCTGCGCTATTTAGAAACCAACAGTTTCAATGGAGACGTTTCAATGCTACTTATAGCAAACTGTGAAAAACTGAAAAAGAAGCAATAATGTAAGAAGGTGTACTAGTAAGCTTTTAAAAGTCACTTGTTATAATGAAAGAGCTGACAGAGTTCTGAAACTACTTTATGTTCAGTTCCTGATTCTGCATTCCTGAGAAAGAAGTCAGATTTCTACCCACATATAAGCACATAGCCTCTGACTGGAAGCTCCAGTCAGTCCTTAACTAATTATGCTGCTAACTCAAAGGCTTTGTGTCTCTCAGATGGTATCAGAGTGGCTCCAATGGAGAATGAGGCAAAGTCTGCTCCATTTGAGAAGCAGAACCTCTAAACCCTCAAAAGGGTCAGAACCGACTCATTAGTGGTGACTTTGAGAATTTTTTCTTCAAAACACTACTCTAAATACTTATATAAATGGAATAGCCCAAATATTTCTAGAAATTAATAAAAGTGACTTCACCCTGACATTTATTTTCAAGATTAGTATGTCTGTTATAAAATCAAAACCTTTCTAAGAAAATTAAGTTGAACATAATTAGAAATATGTTTTATTTAATGAAAGTAGACAATTTTGTCTGAAAATAGAAACTAAGCAATATCTGGCAAGCTTATAGGGAAGAAGAAAAGTGTCTACCCAAGAATTGCTGTGTTCATTTATAAAATTACTTAAGTTTCTTATTCACTGAGTAAATAAAAGGCTATGATAAAGAAAAGGCAAACTGTTTACCAAAAGAATTTTGTCTTTGAAAATATTTGTCTTTGTTGGTTGTCATCAAATAGCAACCCTATGAACAAAAGACTTGAAGCCTTTCTACAACTATTGGCATTTCTCAAAGTTCATAGAGTTTCCAGAGGCATGCTATTTAAGAAGTAGATGGCACTCCAGCTTCGAAACACGTCTTAAACTGTGAGCTCCACCAAACATTGTCTACCCTGGGTTACCATTATGGCATTTGACACCCCGGTGGCAAAAGGTTCAGCATATTGACAGAAGAATGCTATACCACTTAGAAGAATGTTCCTCCAGAATATAATAACAATCAACTTTTAATACAAAGGCCCTCCACAGGTCTTGCTGACTCTACACAAGAGACTTGAAAAAAAAGCAACCAATAAAATATGTTGTTATTGATTGTTGTTATGTGCTGTTCACTTCTCTGTGACCCATGAAGTCCTTATGTACAGCAGCTCTGAACCCTTCCCTATACTGAGCCAGCCTCACCAATTCCGATGCATTAACCCCCACTGCCCTAGTTACCGTATCAATCCATCTCATCTGTGGTCTTCCTCTCCTGCACTCTCCCTCTACCATTCGGAGCATGATGTCCTTCTCCAGGGACCAGTCTCTCCTGGTCACGACGTGCCCAAAGTATGTGAGAAGGAGCTTCAAAATCTTAGCCTCCTCCAATGACAGATGTGGGACCTATTTGTTTTCCTGGCAGTCCAGCACTACAACTCGAAAGCATCTTAGGCCAACTTAAATAAATGTCAACTGACTGAGGTAACTAATTCTTGTCTTCTGCTGTTCATATGGTGGCTATCAGTAGTAGTGGATACCTAACAACAATTCTCATCTTTGGCCACAAATAAAAAGAGCAGGGCAGGATCAGGTTGCCTCAGCCCTAGCCTCCGAGGTCACACAGCTCCAGGAAAGCTTTCACAGGATCCCTGACAATGAAACAAAAATCTATTAAGAAAACTGCTGTCTGTATTGGTTTTGATTTTTTTTTTTTTGGTGTCATCAAGTGGACTCCAACTCATAGCTAGTCTACAAACAACAGATTCTGTACTCTCCTCCTCAGGATCTTCACCAAGCTCAAAACCGTAGTAGCAGTTGATGAGGACCTTGTTGAGGACCTTCTTCTCTTTCACTGGCCCTTTACTTTTCCCAGTAAAATGTGTTTCCAAGGGCTGGAACCTCCTGTCAACATGTTCTAAGTATGTGAGACCAAGTGTCACCATCCTTGTCTCTGAGAAGCACACTGGTTGCACTACCAGTAGGATAAGATTTTGAATATGCTACTGTTGTTGGGTGCTGTCTTGTCAAGCACAGCTTACAGTGACCCTATAAACAACAGATCTGAACCCTGTCCTATCCTGTGCTATCCTTACCACCTATAACATACTTGAGCTCATTGCTGCAGTCACTATGTCATTCCACTTGGTTGAGGGTTCTCCTCTCTTTTGCTAACCCTTTACCTTTCCAAACAAGACTTCACTCTACAAGGAGTAGCCTTTCCTAACAACATACCCAAAGTATGTGAGACAACGCTATGCCATCTTCGTCTTCAAAAACACTCTGGCTATTTTCTCTAAGACATACCTGTTTGTTCTTTTGGCAGTTCACTATCTAGCTATCAGATAGATAACAGCGATTGAAAAGACCATGGCCTGAATTAGGTGAACATTAGTCTTCAAACTCACATCACTGCACCACAGTTAATTTGGAGAGGTCCTTGACTGCAGACTTTCCCAATGCAATACTTTTCTTGATCTCCTGACTACTGGTATCAAGGGTGTTGACTGTGGATCCAAATAAGATGAAGTCATTGACAGCTCCAATCTTTTCTCCATCCAGCATGATACTGAAATGCAATTCATACTAAAGACTGTGGTCTGGGAGGAAAGTCCTCCTTACTTTATGCAAGCAAGACTACGTCATCTGCATAATGCAGGTTGTTGATGAGCCTTCCTCTGATCCTGAGGCTATATTCTTCTTCATAAAGTCCAGATTCTCAAATGATTTGCTCAGTATTGAATAGATATGGACAAAATACAAAACTGGTGCACACCTTTCTTAATTTTAAATCATACAGTGTTCCTATTTCAATCACTTGCTATGCATCTGAGAGCTGGATAATGAATAAGGATAACAGAAGAATTGATGCCTTTAGGTTGTGGTATTGGAAAACAGCAGTGAATATCACATGGACTGCCAAAAACTCAAAAAGATATGTCTTGGA